CCTTGCTCCAAAACAACCCGCAACCCCACCCTATCTAGCCGACCGTTCAAACCCCACCCCACCACACTAGCAACCTGATAAACCCCACCGTAATTCCAGCCCCAACCAACCACCACCGAACAACCACCACAGCCCCAACCACCTCCTCCACCTGCCCCGACCATCAGATCGAAGCTCATGTCGTAGCCACCTTGCCCCTCAACCCCATCCCCGAAACCCTTGTTCACCTTTGAGGGTAACGGAAATCGAACCCCCTCCCTTCTCCACTTCCAAAACCGGCCCACCCCATAATTCGGGCACCCTTTCTTTCTCTCTCCGTTCCCCACTGCCGAATCTGGTGGTCCTTCACCACTAAAACACCAGTTTTGAGGGATGGGGGAAAGAGAAGGGGGTGGATTTCTAGGGTGAGGGTTTAGGGTGGTTTCAGAGTGGGGGGTTCGAGTTAGGGGCGATTTGGGGGGGGGGGGGCTGGGGAGGGGGTCTGTTCTGGTCAAGTGGTTGTGGAAGGAGGGTGGTTTCGGCGGTGGGGCAGGGGAAGGGGTGGTTGTCGGGGCTGAGGCAGGGTAAGGGAGTGGTTGCCGGGACGAAAATGGACGTGGGTGGGGAGTTCAGTTCGGTCGTTTCCCTGGTGGTGGTTGTGATGGAGTGAACACAGAGGAAGAGAGAGGAGAGAGAGAAGCAGGAGGGGAAGGGGAGGGAGGCCGGCGGCCGGCGGCGCGCCTGCCGGAGCAGGTACCAGCGTCCAGCGGCAGGGGGCTGGGGTGGCTCCATGGTGGCTGGGTGTTTTTTTTTTTTTTTTTGCTAATTTTTTTTTGTTAATTTTTTTTTTTAATTTTTTTAGTTTTTTTTACCAATCACAGGCCGCCACGTGTCATGTAACCTGTTATAACAAGTTACATGACCGGTTGGGACCAATAAAAAATTAAAGGCACCCAAAGGTCGGATTATTAAATAATAATCAAAAGATGGGATTATTAATTTTGAATGGCCCAAAGGTGAGATTATTCCAGTGAATTTTTTCAAATTAAAATATACTTGAATAAGAACATAAGGTAAGAAGATAAAAAAAAAAAAATGGATCCCAACTATTACACTAATATTGAAGGGTCACAATTAATGGACTGATCAGTAAAAGTATACTTGTACGTAGTGTAAGCTAAGTAGATAAAATTGGATCCCAACTACTATACTAGTATTGAAGGGTCACAAATAATGAACTGATCAAGAAAACGATTGCATTTGACATTTTAGGAACTAAGCTAGTGTGTATCTAACTAGTGTATGTGTATCCCAGGTAGTGACGTAGTGTCCCAAGTTATTATTTTTAATGATTTTTGTATATGGGAAAATTTTAAAGTTATACGAAGTAATCAAGTAATTTGATAAGTAATTGCCTGACATTCGAAATCATTTTTAAATGTATCATTATCATAAGAAGTGGTTTACAAAAATCTAAAATACTTTTTTGTTATTATTGTAGATGTGGTGGAGGCATATTTAATTACGAAGTGGTATTGTAAGAATACATAATCAGAAGACTATTGTTTTTAATTTTTAAACATTTGACATTGATGTAATGGTGGATTAAAGGCTATGTCTACACTTTTCATTTAATAAATCATGTGTTTAAAACCTTGTGGTAACTAGTAACTATACTTAATTTTTGAATTGAGAAGCTAACATGGATATTGAACATTTGCAGGGGGGGAGTGCCATGTAAGATGGGACACCTAAACTTAATTTGGCGCACTGTTTAATACATAAAAATAAAAGTATAAATATAAATTCTAGTCGATTACGGAGTATTATGTAATAATAAATTAAATATATTTTTTTTTCCGAAAAAAAAATTAAATTACTTGGTACATTAATTATTAACAAAGTCGTTGCATGTCGTTGTCTAGATCCAATTGCTCTATTCATGCGAATAAATAGTCATTTTAATCTATTAATTTGACCTATTGATATGATTATTAATTTCATGCGGAGAACATGACACGTATACATATAGCCATATACAGAACATACTCCCTCCGTGTTTTAATAAGTGTTACACTTATTAAACACGACCGTGTTTTAATAAGTGTTACACTTTCTTTTTTGGCAAAAAATTACAATTTAATATAATATCTTTCTCCTCTCATGGTCCCCATCCAAACCCACTACTATTTTTTTAATTATTTCTTTCCTCTCTTATTATTTATTTTTCAATAAACTATTAACCCCACTATCTTCCTTTTACGAATTTTTTAATACTCTAATTACCCCACTTACCCCTTATTTTATTTAAGTCAATTAAATTGCCTAAAACTATGTACCGGTCAAAGTGTAACACTTATTAAAACACGGTGGGAGTAGGTAAAGATTAACTAAAAACACATTTTTTATACTAATAAACCGAACAATATCTTCTACAAATATGATGTAACTACTACTAATACAGTAGAATGGCTTGACTAATTATCCTCAGATGAGTAGCCAAATTGAGGTTTCTAATCTAATACTTAATTAAGAAATGAGAAATTCTCAATGGTATTCATCAGTTTTATTTTTTTCTTAATGGTAAACACTAAAATATTAAATTATCTTTAGTAATCCATAATTTGTAAAACTAATTCAATGGTAACATTAGTTAAGCATTTTAAGAAATATTAACCATGGTTAATGTTTTATAAGGGAGACAAAAGAGAAATGTCTAAAATACCCCTATGTTTAAAAAAAATAAAATACCATTCACTTCTTCCGCCTACCCACGACCCCGGCGCCAGCGCCGACCCCAACGGCTATTTCCTTTCTCTCTTTCATGGCGCCCACCATAATCATCACCATCACATCATCATCATTTCACCATCAACAGAACACCCACCATCATTCATCATTTTCACCATTAACAACAACCCTAGGTTTCGATGAAGATCGAACCGGGCTAGCGGATTTCCAGCTCAACGAAACGGTTCAACGACTGCGACGGTCAGAAATCGGTGTTAGATCATTGGAGAGCGTGGTTTTGATGCAGATTTGCTTCTAGATGTTTGTCGGAGGCTTTGCCGCATGTAACATGAATCGGGAGCTAACTTCACGAACCCTAAGACGAGATTAACGAGGTTGTTGGAGATTTGTCAGCATGGGAGTTGAAATTTCAGATTATATTTGGGGTTTAAGGTTTTCCGACGCCATTGTTGGTTGGGGATGGTTGGGGGGTTTTTCGAGCGTTAGGGTTGCGCCCTAAGGGTTTAGAGTTTCGTGGGGGTAGGGAGGGGGGCTAGTGGTTCGTGCGACGCCGGCGCTGAAGGGTCTGGGCGCGGCCGGCGCCAGGGGAAGGGGGATCGAGGCTAGGCGTGGGTGGTGGCTGGCGGATTGTTGGCTGTGGTAGCTGGGGGAAATTGTGTTTGGTGTTTTTTTTTTTGGATGATTTCACTTTTGCTACCACCAAAACACATGCATCTCACTTTTGCTACCCCTTAATTTTTTTTTTTGTTTTGCTATCACACAAAAATAACTTTGTCAAAATTTGCTACCTTTTAAAGGAATGGGTTAGGGTTCTGTTAAGTTTATTCAAAAAAAAAATTAAAATGTTTAAAAAATAAACCCATCCAGCCACCCTCCCCTCTCCCTTTCCTCCACCTATGCAGCCCACCACCTTCAATTGCCCAGCCAGCCCCCTCCCGTCAGCCAGCCTCCCCCCTGTCGGCGACCGGCGCCCAAAGTTTTGGCCGGCGTCGGCGACCCCACCCCAATCCCTTTCCCCCTCCTACGCAGCCACCCCCTCCCTTTTCCCCTTCTTGTTGCCCCGACCCCCACTCCGAACCGGAAACCGACCCCTTCCCCATTTGCCCCACCGGAATCGACCCCCCTCCCTATTCCCCCACCAGAATCGTCCCCCCCCCCTCCCCTACTCTTTTCAGCCACCCCTAACCCTAACCCACCACCCCTAAACCACCATAAGCGAAACCCTAAAACCCGTTTAGGGTGGTTTTGGGCTAGTGGTTTAAGGTTAGAGGTGCCGGTTTTTGGGTGGGGGAAAGGGAGGGGAGGGGGTTCGATTTCGGTGGGGGAATAGGGAGGGGGCCCGATTTCGGTAGGGAGAATGGGGAGGGGGGTGGTTTCCGGTTCGGGGTGGGGGTCGGGGCAGCAAGAAGGGGAAAAGGGAGGGGGGTGGCTACGTAGGTGGGGGAAAGGGATTGGGGTGGGGTCGCCAGCGTTGGCCCAAGCTTTGGGCGCCGGCCGCCGGCCGGGGGGGAGGGGGGAAGTTGGGCAATTGAGGGTGGCTGGGTTTTTTTTTTTTTTTTTAATTTTTTTAATTTTTTTAATTTTTTGAATAAACTTAACGGAACCCTAACGGATTCCGTTAAGTGGTAGTGAAATTTAAATTATGTGATTTAGGCGGTAGTAAAATTTTAAAAAAAAATTAAGGGGTAGCAAAAGTGAGATGCATGTGTTTTGGTGGTAGCAAAAGTGAAATTGTCCTTTTTTTTTAACAAAAAAAATTAGAAAATCTTATTTTCAAGGATATATTAGTCATTTCGCCTTTAGTTAACTCTGGTTAGCCTTATAATTGTAAATTAATCTCATTAATGTCACCACTGAATTAATAACACAAATAGTTGATTACCAAAGATAATTTGATTTTTTAATGTTTACCATTGAGAAAAATAAAAAACTCAAGAGTATTATTGAGAATTTCCCTTAAGAAATCTACTAGTTCAACAACATTTCAGTGGGATGTGTTTAATTAAAACCATTCTTCTATGGAACTAATCCACCCTCAGCTTCATTGCGATATTGACGTCTATCAGTCTATGTGGTTGGATTCCAATCCAACAATATTCCATGAAACTTACATTTATTAATCTACTTGACTATATCGTGCATATAGTAAATAGTTGTTGCATCTATAATAGAAATTTGAAATGGGTATGCACATGGCTACCTTAAAGTCACAAGTTCGATTAAAATGACTGATCGAATATGATACAAATATACTCCGTGCTTCATATTTATTACGTAAAAATCATTTTACAAACAGGACATTGAGCCTGTTTTCGAAGCCATGGATCGATACACTTAACATGGAACGGGTGAGCACAAGGCAACCGCCTTACGACGTCATCATGAGAGTATTTCTCCATGCATATTGCACAATTAGCTGCATCATCAATATTTTCCTCGGGTACTCTAACTCCAAATAGGCCAATCGGGTAAGAATCTATAGTGGGCTGATCAAGGCCTTTTAATGTGATGTTGGATCGTAATTGCTCATTACGTGTTCTTGGGTCGGGTCGGATCCAATCATCAAAATCATAACCCAATTCATGAAATGGATTTACCGGGGATTGGATTCTATGAAGGATATTCTCCTCATCTTCATAATATCCAATCTCTCTTCCACCTAATCTCACACATAATTCTTCCAAATAACAATATAGAAAGATGATTAATGGAATTACAACTAATGCAACCACGACACACATCACGATTAAATCGCTTGTGGAAACCATTAATTATGTGTGTTTTAAATGTCTTGAGTAAAAAAGTCAATTAATAAGTTACCACGTCAAAAATTTTAATTCGAAATTTGTTTGATTTATTAGCTTTTGTTATTTTTTTAAAAAGAAAATTCGAGTTAAAAGAATAAAAATACATGTACTAAAACCCTTTATAAAACATGTATAAAAACAATATAAACAAACAAAAACCAAAAAATATACGATGTATAAATTATTTACTTTGGGTATAGAATATACATGTGTTGATGTGTTATTTAGAAACTAGACATGCTAGTGTGTTGAATTCAAGACATGCTACCTATTATATTAAGAACTCTATACAATATAATTGTACAAGGAGAGTGAGTTTACCACAAGAGTTAGACCTTGTATAATTGTTCTTCAAAATTCCTTGCTACAATGATCCAAATGAGTACATTGCAGGATGAAAATCAGGATTATATCATATATATGGCTTAAGCATTTATCGATCTTTAATTGGATCGGATCTATATGTAGAAGAACACCAAGATAAAGAATTAATAGTGTATAGTACGAGTAGAAATTAAGGAATAATAAATCAATATTATATATAATGAGTGTTATGCCTAAATTTTCATCACAGGTTCACTTGTTCGCAGGTTGTTAGGTTACGGGTTACAGGTTATCACATAGTCAACTACCCAGTTCTAGGCTCTAAGCGAAGTCAAACAAAGACTCTTCCAAGGGTATCCTGAATTGAACAAGTCAAGAGAGGTGACTAAGAATATCGGAACCATAAGCATTTGCTTGCCGTTGATGAAGACTAGTTCAAACTACAACGGATAAGTCCTCAAAGATAGTGGCGAGGAAGTAGGAACTACCTTGACCCACTAGCTCCGCATCGGAATGGAGCCGTTGAAACCTTTCAAGTTAATTCTTATGCTATAAATAGGAAAATAATCATTGTACAAAGGCATGACAAATATTCCAACCTTATTACTCATAGAAATTAAGTATTCTTTAGCAATCCTAAGCATCGTTATTATCAAATTGTAAACCTAAATTGTACTTGTTTCAACCTGACAACCTAGTGGATTGGTGGACTTATTGCCACCCGCAGTTTTTACCCTTATTCTCGGGGTTTTGTGAGTCACCATTTTGTGTCTCTTCTCCCTTTCCCTTTTGCTCATTATTTGCATACCTTTTATCTTGATTTTTTGAACCTGCATTGTCATTTGCATTTCAATCAATCTAGTTGTTGTCTTATTGAGCCTGGTCTAATATAGCGATCAGATTTTTAACTAAACAGTTTGGCGCCGTTTATGGGGACACAGTTAGATCATTTTATCCATTTTATTTGATCAGTCAATCGCCATGGCCGAAATTCCTAATCAAGGTCCTACCATGGCCGAAATTGCTGAGCAGTTACGGGAAACCCGAGAAGAGTTAAGAGCTGCCCGGGAGTAGAATCTAAAACTCCAGAATGAATCTCAATCTCATCAGGCATCCTTGGAGAAGCTGAACAAGGAGCTTGAATCTATCAAGAGCAACAAGAAAAAGGGGTTCAAAACCAGTGATATTCCCCAATTCTCCCTGATTTCATCTGATGAATCTAAAAGGGAAGCATATGATCCCAAAAAGAATGATACGGAATCTGGCGAAAACCCTGATCATATGGCCCAGGAGGTGGCTATTATTAAGGCCCAGAATCGAAAAATGATGAAGCTCTTGACCCGGTTACCAGGTGTGCCAAAACCTATGGCCTATGAATCTCGTGATGGGTTTGCTGAATCCCCTTTTGTGGAAGAAATTTCCAAAGTCCTAATTCCCACGAAGTTAAATATCCCATCCTTCTCTAAGTTGTACGATGGAACCACTGACCCTCAAGATCATGTGGCCCATTACAAGCAGAAAATGTGGCAGCTATCCATTCCATGGGATCTTATTGAACCCACCATGTGCAAGTCCTTCGGTGCTACTTTATCAGGACCTGTACTCCAATGGTTGATCAACCTGAAGCCTAAATCTATCAACAACTTCTTTAGTCTGGTGAACAAGTTCTACCAGCAGTTTGCTACCAGCAGAGAGCTGGAAAAGTAGAGCAGTGACCTGTACCGAGTCGTCTAGAAGCAGAATGAGACGACCAAGCAATATTGGGACAGGTTCAATAGAGAGATGGTCAACATCAAGAACTGCGATCATTCACCTGCCATAGAAGCCTTCCGTAAGGGTCTCAATTACCATTCCAGGTTATATTATGAGTTGTCGAGATATTTTTGCGTCTCTTTTAAAGAAGTCAGAACCAGGGCAATGACCGAAGTCCGTGTAGAAGAGGACGAGCAAGCAAGAAATCTGGTTGGGAAAAGGCCAGTTGGGTATTCCGAAATCAATATTCTAGACCTAGGCAGAATAACTAGCGCGATAATCCGAGGCGCAACAATGTGAGCAATGTGTCAAATTCAAGAATGGGTGAAGGCTCCACCAGGCCGGAACCAGAAGATCATCCTGACATCAACTCGTATGGTTTAGATACCGATATAGTAGGAGTTGTCAATGCTCTGAAGGAAATTGGGCAACCTATGAGGTGGCCTAGTGTAGATACCTGATTGTGTCTCCCCAAAAACCAAATCCAGTGATGAGTACCTCTCATGTCTTTGATTATCGAGTTAGGTGAAGAGTTGAAGAGTCTCGTGAATTTCCCTTAAGCCTTGACCATTTATAACCTTTCTCTTTAAATGTTTTAAGAAAAAATCATTCATTTCGTGTCTTTAAACCCTAAATCATTCATTTTGTGTCCTTTAAAATCATTTATTTCGTGTCCTATTTATAAAATCGTCTAAACTAGTTTATTTTGGTCCATAATCCTGGTAAAATTATTGCTTATATGGATAGGGTTTGAAAAGAGCTTTCCAACGATATATTATAAGCTCAAATCCGACTTAAAACGAATAAGTTATGGCCAAAATACTAAACTAAGCCCAAACCGAACCTAGGTCCATCGTACCTACAACCCAATGATCATGTGGAGGGTCCAATACCTTAATCCCATTCCTAAAACAATTAGGATTCATCGGGAACTTCTATAAGCCTCTAGAAGGTTCTAATCTATCCTTTTTGAAAGATAAGATTAAAGAGTTTGAAATTGAATAAAACTCCTCTTTTTGATAATCCTTGTTCCAATCAAATTGAAATATGTTTAGACATGATTTTCGTGCCTCATAATTTTTATCCAAATCTTAAATGGTTGAATAATCCTTGAAATTATATTTCCAATGATATATCATAATCTTAATTCAGAGCTATAACGAAAAAGATATGAATGAAATACTAAACTCTATCCAAAACTGACACCGTTGCACTATTTCGTTCATATATTTTATTATATAAAATATTTTAATCTAATTCTAATTGGGTTAGAAAAAAGACTTTAAGATCTTTCCAACGACATATTATTTATCTTATTCCGATTTCTGGATCAAAAGTTATGATAAAAACAAAATCTGTAAAAACTATTTTTTATCGCGCCGCGATGATTTCATCGCGTCGTGATGGATCTAACGCGCCACGATAAAAGGATTTTTTTTATTCCGATTCGAATTTTGACTCTTTTCTAATCGTTTGACTCTTTTTTCCCCATAAATAGAGGTCGTTTTCCCCCGTTTCAATCATTAACAAGCTTGATCACCAACAATCATCATCTTTTCTCTCTCTAAGCTAAAGCTTATTCTTTCTTTCTCTCTCTCTTTCTTAACCCATCCTAAATACACAAACACCATACGTCCTTTACAAGACTCGAATACACCTAGCCAAGCTCAAAGTTGCCTCGCCCTCGACGTGAAAGGTTGATAATTCTGAGAGTTTGGTCCCAAAACTATATTTCAATTATTCTTTAAATTATTGTTTGATTTAATATTTTCCTTGAAGTTACTAACGTGTGTATTCTTTTAATAGAAAGAGGTACAAGGCTTCAAAGTGAGTAATTTGATTACTTAATTATCCTTTTGATATAGAAATCATGCTTAGAGTATTATTTTAATTCCTAATATCATGTTAGGATTCTTTTTATGGCTTTCTAGTATCATGTTTAACATAAAGCTTTGATTTTTATTGTTTAGTGACATGCTAGAGTTTGTTATTAATCCGTTTAGTATCATGCCTAGGATCTTGCTAATATTTTTATGCTTTAATGATGATATTATTATGATGATGATTGTTGTGTCAATATTATCATACATTGCTTGATTATTATTGTTATTGCTTGATCACGTCTTTTTTGCAGGTTTAAAGGGAATTTGTACTTGAATTACGCCTAATAAGATAATTAATAATTTGATTTTAGGGCTTAATATGATTTTAATTTCAAGTGATTGCCAATAATAGATTTATTTGTGCATTTATAATCAACCAACGTAGATTAAACAGGTTTAGGGCTAATTTGTTGATTGTATGTTGATCGGAAAGCACACATGAATATTATAAGAATAAAATAGAGGCTTATTTAGGGCGGGTTCAATCTCTTTTAGGTTGGATTCGTACCACCATCCCCGAATATCCAGTCATGGTTCCGGACCACTATAGAGTTAGCGATCTCTATGATCGTGAATGGGGTGTAACCTTCACACCCGTGAACGGTTTACAAGTTCCTAAAACTTGTTGGCGACTCTTTTGCTCTAACTTCTTTCCCTTTGGACACCACCATGCTTAAATGCATGATCACAGTGGGGTTCAAAGTTGAGTGTTGAAATATTCCCTACACCTAGAAAGAGCGATAAGCCGGACCACCAAAAAGATAAATCTAGGTGGTGTGAATATCATGGAGATCATGGGCATAGGATCGATGAGTGTAACGGTCTGAAAAGAGAGGTAGCCTGGTTTCTTAAAAAGGGTTACCTGAAAGATCTCGTAGGCAAGAAAGGAAAAAGGCCTGAAGTCAAAAGAGAAGTCCTGCCAAGTCCACCAGCTTTGCCTCCGCATAGCGTCGTGATCAGTGTTATATCAGGAGGATCTAGCATAAGCGGAATGACCTATTCCAATGCGAAGAAGTTAGCAAGGGTTGTCACATCAGCTTCCAGCATCCCTCAAACCTATCTCAGCAGAGAAGTGAAAGCGTTAGATGAAATGAAGATAGTGTTTGATGAAAGCAGATTCAATGAGCTAGAGCATCATGATTGTCTGGTTATTTCCCTCCATGTTGGTCATTGCAATATGAAAAGGGTGCTGGTAGACAATGGGAGCTCGGCTAATATAATATTCAGAGATGCCTTGAATCAAGCTGGGTTCAGTGAGTCAGATATCACCAAGAGGTCTACGGTCCTTGTTGGGTTTAACGGTAAAGGTATGAATACCCCGGGAGAAATCCAGTTGCCAACCTTACTGAAGGGTGTCAATATGATGTATAAGTTCTATGTGATAGATTGCAAGACCGCCTATAATGTGATAGTGGGAACCCCGTGGATCCATAAAATGAAGGCTATCCCGTCAACCTATCATCAGCTTCTGAAATTTCCAAGTCCGTGGGGAGTAGTAATAGTCGAAGGAGATAAAAAGAAAGCCAGAGAATGCTACCAGATCACCATAAAGCCCCATGGGCCCTCAATATAGCAATTACAGTAGAATCCAGCACCGGGACGCCCAGATGAGCTACAGTTAGATGAAGTGATGCTGGATAAATCCAAGCTAGATCAGATAGTCAAGATCGGAGCGGCATTACCTGCAGACCAAAAAGAAGCCATCATAAAATGCTTGAAGGAATATTCAGATTGTTTTGTTTGGTCTCATCGAGATATGAAAAGAATCAGTCTAGAAGTCATTACTCACAAGCTCAATGTAGATCCCAGCATGAAGCCGGTGAAGCAGAAAAGAAGGAAATTTGCACTCGAGCGTAACCAGATTATAAATGAAGAGGTGTGGAAGCTGCTAGATACCGGAAAGATAAGGGAAGTCAAGTATCCATATTGGCTAGCTAATGTGGTCGTCTTCAGCAAAAAGAATGGAACTTGGAGAGTTTGCATCGACTTCACAGATCTAAACAAAGCGTGCCCCAAGGACCCGTTCCCCCTGCTTCATATAGATTCAATGGTAGATGCTACAGCCGGGCACAAGGTTCTTACATTCATGGACGCGTATTTAGGTTACAATCAGATCCTAATGCATCCAGACGATCTAGAGAAGACCGCCTTCATGACAGATAAAGTAATCTACTGCTACAAGGTGATGCCATTCGGGTTGAGAATGTCGTTTCTACCTATCAAAAGCTAGTCAACAAGATGTTCAAAGATTAGCTGGGGGACACCATGGAAGTCTACATGGAAGATTGTTAGTGAAATCAAAGAAAGCAGCTGACCATGTAGATCACCTGAACGAGGCTTTTGGCGTGCTGAGGAAATATGAGATGAAGCTGAATCCATCCAAGTACTCATTTGGAGTATCCACAGGTAAGTTCTTGGGCTATGTAGTTACTCAACGGGGAATCGAGGCTAGCCCAGATTAGGTACGCGCCATTAATCTTTAATCACCTAGAAATCTTATAGAAGTTCAGAAATTGACAAGTAGGATAACTTCATTCAATAGATTCATCTCGAGTTCATTAGATAAATGTCATTTAATTTATAACGTTTTAAAGAAAAATAAAGGTTTTGATTGGACTGATGACCACGAAAAGGCCCTACAGGACCTAAACTCTATTTAATGTCACCTCCTTTATTATCCAAACCTGCTGAAGAAGAGAGTCTTTGCAGCTTTACCTTGATGTTAGCACACAAGCCGTAAGTGCTGTCTTGGCAAGGGATGCTGAGAGTCAGCAGTTACCTGTCTATTATGTTAGCAAAACTCTCCTTAGTGCTGAAACCAGATACTCATCACTTGAAAAGCTGGTATTAGCATTAATAGTAGCTTGCAAGAAACTATGTCACTACTTTGAAACTCACCAAATAGTGGTGAAAACTAACTACCCTATCAAGGCTATGCTACGGAATTGACAGGTTGAATGAGCAAATGGGCAATTGAGCTAAGTGGATTCGACATCAAGTATGAACCAAGAACAGCTATAAAGTTGCAAGCTCTGGCTGACTTTGTGTCTGACTTCAGCCCTGATCTAGAGCATCAAGCAGCTCAAGAAGTAAAACTAACCACTCAAGTCGTAAAACAAGGATCCTAGACCTTGTACGTCAATGGATCATCCAATTCCGAGGTGCAGGTATAGGTGTAGTGTTGAAGTCGCCACAGGAGGACATGATGGTACAATCTATCTATTGTAATTTCAAAGCTACTAACAATGAAGCAGAATATGAAGCTTTGATTGTAGGAATGAATCTAGCGAAAGATCTTGGAGCCTCCAAATTGCAGGTGTTCTGTGACTCTCTTTTGGTAGCAAGTCAAATGAACGGTGAATTCACGGCTAAAGATTCCAAGATGATCTTATACCTAAACTTTGCCAAATCACTAGCAACCAGATTCACTACCTTTTCCATTAAACAAATACCTAGAGACCGGAACGCACAAGCAGATGCCCTAGCTAACCTGCTAGGATCAGCTTTAAGAAAATCCAAGTTCTCATCCACTACCCTAATCCACCTATTAGCACCTGCCATCAACACAAATAACCAAACATCAAAACCCATTTACCTAGATTCCGCCAAGCTAGAACCCAATAGTTCAAAAGTCCTCGAGCCTGACTCGCCCAAACCTATCAAAGATAAACCTACCGAACCCAACATTATTACACCTATAGCAAATCAAACCAGCTGGATCCAAACTATATTTGATTACCTAGAACAGGACACCCTACCTGAAAACAAAGTTGAAGCAAGAGCACTCAGATTCAAAGCATCCAAGTACACGATCATCCAAGGTGTTCTGTTCAAAAAGTTAACCAGAGACATCTTACAGCGCTACATTGAAGAAGATATGTATGAACAGATACTCAAGGACTTTCACGATGGAGAATGTGGAGCTCATTCAGGTGGAAGAACTCTAGCCAACAGGATACTAACCTACGACTACTACTGGCCAACGCTGCGTAACGATGCACAGGTATGTAAGTAAATTGTGACAGTTGTTAGCGTCACTCAGGTATCAATCACAAACCCTCTGAACCTGTGCATCCCACTTTGACACCATGGCCTTTCATGAGATGAGGCATGGACATAGTAAGCAAGCTGCCTCCTACCCCAGGTCAAAAGGTCTATATGTTGGCACAGATTATTACTTTTCTAAGTGGATAGAAGCAGATGCATTCCAACAGGTGAAAGACAAAGAAGTTATCAACTTCATCTGGACTAACATAATCTGCAGATTTGGCGTGCCATCTGAAATTGTTTGTGATAATGGATCCTAGTTCATAAGTGCCCCAACCAGACATTTCTGTGATAAATGGAACATTACTCTCGTTTTCTCAATGCCTAGGTATCCATAAGCAAACGGACAAGCTGAATCCAGCAACAAAGTAATCATCAGTTCTTTGAAGAAGAAGCTGAAAGCGAAAAAGGGCAAGTGGACAGAAAAATTGCCAAATATCCTATGGGCCAACAGAACCACACCAAGGAATGCTATAGGTCAAACCCCTTTTTCCCTGGTATATGGATGCGAAGCAGTTCCACTTGCAGAAGTCACCACTCCAACAGCAAGATATGGCCTGCTAACCCCAAAACGCAACAACGAAGAGCTATCACGTGACCTAGATACCATCAAAGAACGAAGAGACCTGGCATACATAAGGATGGCTACCTATCAGCAAATGGTGGCAAGAAGCTTCAACAAGAATGTGAAAGCCAGGATATACAAAGTAGGAGACTGGGTTCTAAGAAAGGTATTTCAGAACACCAGAGAGCTCAACGCAGGTAAATTAGGGGCAACCTGGGAAGGTCCATACCAGATTGATAGAGTAGTTAGCAAAGGGGCCTACAGGTTAGCCACACCAGACGGTAAGTTGGTACCCAGAAGCTGGAACGCAGCTCATTTGAAACCTTATCATCTCTAAATTATTTCCAAAGTTGTTTCTAAAATTTCCTCCAAGTTATTCCTAAAAATAAATAAATAAATAAAACACAAAAATATTTCTTATCTATTGTTTTTATCTCTACAAGATCAGTACTAACTTAGACATTGCAGGGCCGTTGCTGAAAACACCAATGGTCAGCTCTAACCTGCTGTTTTGTAGGATGGAAGAAGACAATCCCAAGTACTAGGTGCAACCCAGAATCACAAAGGAACAAAGACGCAGCAAAAACATAGAGTAATCTCAAACTTTGCCCATTTATCTTTGTTTATTTTCACAACTTACTAACTTAAGCATCGGAGGGTCATTGGCCATGCCAACGGCCACCCCTAACCCTTGTGATGCAGGTACAGATTCAATCTACCAAAGATGCGAATGAACCACGGGCCTAAGCGCCAGATGTCAAAAATATCCAAATCAAAAAACCATGAGCAATCAGAAGCAAAGTTTAACATGCAACGAAGGTAAAATTCAAAGCCTACGTTACTCAAATAGACCTAGCATCTAGAGTTCAAAGTCAAAAGCATAAAACCTTTACTCCCATGAGCAAAGTAAAACACAAGTTCAAAGATATCAAAAGCAAATGTTTCAAGGCAAGAGTAAACATAAGAACAAAGAACCTAAACTAAGCTTGAGGACCCTCTTCCCCTCTTCAGCTTCCTTAGCTGGAACATCAGCATCATGACCTGGAGAAGTTTCAGCGGTGGACTTCTCAGGATCAAGCTCATCAGCCTTGGCATCCTCAGGAGCTAAATCCCTAATATGACCAACAATCATATATTCATCCACTAGCTGTCGAAGCTTCTTCTTTCCTGGTTCCCCCACATACTTACTCATTAGGAAACCATTAGCCATGTAAGCCTTGATCTTCAAAGTAGCCATCGCTTCAATGTTCCTATTGTCATCCTCTAGATCCACTATCTTGGCATGCAACTCTGTCATCTCTTCCTCCTTCTTCATCAGATTTTTCTCTTTTTCCTGCATATCTTCCTCTCTTTTCTTCATGTATTCCTCAAACTTCTTCCGCTGTTCCTCCATAGCAGTATTGAGATCCTTCTACGGGTGAAACAAATTTGGTTTAAAATCGAACCGAACCGAATTAGGAATATGGTTCGGTTCTTTTCTTAAGTGGTTCAGTTTCGGTTTGTAAAATCAAGATTCCAAAATTATATGGTTCGGTTTCAGAAAATGAAAAACCGAAAAACCGAAACCGAAACCGAATTTTTGGCCCAACCCCAAAAAAACTCTAGCCTAACTCTACATAGTATATAAAGCAAAAACAAAAAAAAAACCTAATCACCTTTCAGCTTCTCACTCTTTCCTTTTCTCTTTTCTCCCTTTCACTTTCCAAAGTTCTCATTTCTCAGTTCTCACTCTCTCTCCTTTCCTCTTCTCTACTCCGTCCTTTCTCTCTCCTCTTCGATTTCTTCTCCACTTTCACTCTCCTCTCCTCTTCGACCAGCAGTACTTAGGCAAACGACCAAGGACAACCACTAGTGTTCACATTCTAAAGGCTTTTCATGTCAAATTTGACCATGAAAATACTAGATCTAGAGTTTTCATGGTCAAATTTGACCTTTAAAACCCAAATTCGAGGTTTTTCGGTGGAATGTGAGGTATGTCCTCTTTTTCTTTCTTTTAATTTGGTTTGAGTTTTTGTTTTCTACTTTATTTTTATGGTGGTGTGTGATTGAATTGCGGTGGTGGTAGGTAGTTTTGGCTCGATCTAGGGTTAGGGTTTGGGTGGAAGGGATGAAGGGTGGTGAAATACGGTGGGTTGTGGGTCGTTGTGGGTTGTGGTGGGTGCAGATCTGGGTTAGGGGTGGTGAAATAAGGTTAAAAATTGTTTAATTATGTTTATATGGATTGGTTTGGTTTGGTTTTGTTTGGTTCGGTTTTAATTGGTGTGGTTTGGTTCCGTTTTTTTGTAAAATTTGATGTTTATGATGCTTGATAGGAAAATTCGGTGCGGTTTGGGTTTTTTTAAGAAAATCAAATTTAGGTGGTTTGGTTTGGTTCGGTTTTAAAGCTAAAGTGGTGCGGTGTGGTTTGAAAAAATCAAGAAACCAAAATATGGTGGTTCGGTTTCAGTTTGGGAAAAAAACCAAACCGAAAACCGAACTTTCACCCCTAGATCCTTCACCTTCTGATTAGATGCATCCCTCTGAATTTGCATGTCTCTTCTGACCTTCTCAGCTCTCTGCAGCTTCCTCTCAATTTCTTCCATGTGAGATTTAGAGTATAAAACATTCTGAAGGTCCTGTTTCACAGAAAAATCCAAGTAAAAAATGCACATAGTCATAAAGCATCACTCAAACACTTAGAGCAGATTAGCAAACCTGTAAAACCAGCTGATCCCTAACTGCCAAAACAGATGTACCATCCATGCTAGCCAGACACTTTTTCAGCTGCTGGGAACAAGAGTTTCTAAGCAGCTGGCCATATTCCATTACCAGTTCCCTCATCAGCCAAGAAATCAGTAGGAAAGCTAGCATCATAAGTATCTGGTATAACGACCGGATCAACGGGGGCATTAGACCTAGTACGATGAATCCTAGAAGGAATAGGTACCTCCCGGTTAGATAAGGTATTAGAAGGACTTTCTTCAATCTGCTGAACTGTGGTATCTACTGATCCACCTTGAGAACCATCCCCTCTCTTCCTTTTAATGCGAGTAAGAGCCTCTTCTCGAGACATCACATAAGCACTCTTCCCTGGTATAATCAAAGTCACTGATTCTTAGTTCCATGTCCAAAGTTTCACAGTAAAAACTAAGTCACAGAAGTAACTTGAAGCCATTGATACACTAGCAGCTGCAGACGTAACATATTGGTCACCAAAAGTCCTATCAGGTACAGAAACCTGGTACAAAGCTTTCACTGCTTCCTCTAAACCATCTTCTGGCTTGAGAGCATCCAAACGCAAATCTACAAATAATAAACAGAGTAAAACCCTTAGTTAATATACTTTATCCAAAGGCTAATTCACATAAGATTGAATGACTACCTTTGTGCCAGCCGCTCCTTAACCACCTTCCAGATTTCCCCAAGGAATCTTTCAAAATAAAGAAAAACCTTGTATTCCACGCTCGATCTTGAGTTTCATACCCAATAATTGGGGGAGGATTAAGTGAGGGTCGCTTATAAATAGTCACCCTATCCATATCCTATTTCCTTAATTCATAGCACCTGATAAAGTCAGCTGCATTCAGCTTTTCCTTCCAATTGGCCGTAATTTCATCCAGCTTACTCATTACCTTCCAAACTGCAGGCATCAGTTGGCCCGGGTTTAAGTCAAAAGTTTCTAGAACTTGCTTGGCCAAAGAGGAAAAGGGGTAGGTGAACCCATTCCTAAAAGGATACTCATAAAAAACAATGTTGTCGTCATTGCAAAGCTACGGCTTATCCTCAGGTCCAGGTACAATTAGTACGACAGACTCAGGGAACCCAGCCATCACCTTTAACTCCTTCAACTCAGCCTCAATGATTGCTAGCTTTATCCTCATCGGCCTTCCCCATCTTACTTTGATTAACTCTCAAGTTCCTATTTAAGTGTCTATGGCATTTTTTCTTAGCAATGTGCTTAATTTTTACCATAATTGAAACGAATTTCGCAACATAATACAACGAAAACAATAAAATCAAAAGAACAAAGAGAGTAATGACGTACCAGGATAAATGAAAAGCTCGACTCCACTACGGCAAAATCCCAGCTTAAATTGCACTTCACCGATGTCGATCTGTTTTCTCCAATTTTCGCAAACGGAACCCTAGATTTTTTATTTTGAAATTATCTTGAAAATTCTGACTTGAGGAAACTCTTTTTTATTAATTTATAACATGCATTTAATGGGTCCAACAGTACAAAGTTATCTTTTCAAGGGAGTATCATTTTGCAACGGATTCGAAAATTTGCATTTATCTTCTGATTTTTGATAATTTTCCATTATTTATCTTAGCTTATCTTTTTGAATAATTAAGCTTGCCTCGTAAAATTCACCAGAACATCAAGCTGGGGGCAAACTGTTGTGCCTAAATTTTCATCACAGTTCACTTGTTCGTAGGTTGTTAGGTTACAGGTTACAGGTTATCACATGGTTAGCTACCCAGTTCTAGGTTCTAAGCGAAGTCAAACAAAGACTCTTCCAAGGGTATCTTGAATTGAACAAGTCAAGAGAGGTGACTAAGAATATCGGAACCATAAGCATTTGCTTGCCGTTGATGAAGACTAGTTCAAACTACAACGAATAAGTCCTCAAAGATAGTGGCGAGGAAGTAGGAACTACCTTGACCCACTAGCTCTGGATCGGAATGGAGCCGTTGAAGCCTTTCAAGTTAATTCTTTGCTATAAATAGGAAAATAATCATTGTACAAAGGCATGACAAATATTCCAGCCTTATTACTCATAGCAATTAAGTATTCTTTAGCAATCCTAATCATCGTTATTATCAAATTGTAAATCCAAATTGTACTTGTTTCAACCTGACAACCTAGTGGATTGGTGGACTTATTGCCACCCGCAGTTTTTACCCTTATTCCTGGGGTTTTGTGCGTCACCATTTTGTGTCTCTTCTCTCCTTTCCCTTTTGCTCATTATTTGCATATCTTTTATCTTGATTTTTTGAACATGTATTGTCATTTGCATTCCGATTAATCTAATTATTGTCTTATTGAGCCTGGTCTAATCTAGCGATCAGATTTTGACCTAAACAATGACCTGACATTTTATTTGGAGTAAAACTTAACAATAAATAAATAAAGGATGTTACGTTACACGTGATTATCTAATGGTTAATGATCGACAATGTCATACGAATCAGGGATCAGTTTAGGATAGTTTTGGAAATGATGAAGTTTGAAGACCCATCATTTCTACTTTCTAGCACCAACATTCTTAGCAGGTTTAAAATACAAATATACATAAAGTATAATAATGTTTTCATCTTTACGATATTCAATTATTCATTTAGCGGTGGTGATACAAGATGGCCTTAGATTGTAAATCTATCTAAAGATTAATCTTACTTAATTATTAATTGTTGGTATTATTTTGACCATTTCTTAATAATGATCGTCTTATTTTACTTTTTTTGTCTTCTTTAAAAGAATATCCCATTTTCATTCTAGCTAACATGATCCTTATAAGTTAATATGATTATTTCTCTCTACTTTATATACTACACACACATTCTAAACAATAAATCTTCATTTAATAATGCCACAATTTAGAATAAACTTAAAAGGACGAAAAAAGTATAAGGAAGTGTCTCTAATTAGTACATACATTGATACATATACAAGTATATGAGTAATATGAGTACATGTGTACCTCTTAAATTTGGTCGGTGCATGCATGATGCGCTATTCTGTTCTAGACGTGTGGTCATTAATTTATACTTGTTTCATACTTCGTATTAGCTACCACTAATTAAAAAAAATACAAACAAAATCAATTTGTTTGATTACATAATTGTTTATATTGCCGTATATTTTAGGAAACTGTCAGAAAATCGCACCGTTTTTCTGATCAAAGCAAAATTATGCTAGCAATATTATTCTCTTCTGAATGTAGTTTTGTTACTATTTTGGATAAAATTATTGAAGAAGTGGAAATCTGACTCAAAAGTTTACAAGAATAGCTTAACATATTCCTTTCATATACGAGTACGAAAGTAGAACCTTAATTAAAAACCTTCATTCTTTTTGCTCACTTCATTGATTAGAATATTTCATTTGAAGAGGCATGAAAGTAGAACCTTAATTAAACACTCTCATTCTTTTTGCTCTTCATTTAGAATACTTCGTATTTCATTTGAAGAGGGACAAATTTTACCATTTATATTCATTAATTATATATAAGTAAGAAAAACATACCCAACTCCGTATTCATATAGTAGTATATGAGATCTTATGAAGTATCTCAATATACGTAGTATTGTTTTTAAAGGTAAGATGAAGGACACTACTGAACCGGCACCTCTCATGGGTTAAAACGAGCCTAGCTTTATAAGTCAACGTTTGAGAATAGAGGGGAGAGGTAAGGAAATCCCCCTACTCCCAAGTAAATGTAGTTGGTGGGGCCCGAATTCGTGACTTCAAAGTCACAAGGTAAGTTTCCCACCATCTCTACCACTCGATATATGTTATGGATTCAAAACATAACCTTTTTGTGTTAATTACTATACGTATATATATAGTATATGTGTATGATGATTAAAAAAAAAAAAAAATTGTAATCAAATATACTATGAAACTTTGAAGAAATGTAAATCAAATAAACAAAAAGGAACAGATGTAACATTAATTACTCTGTAGAAACATTAGGAAGGTAACAACATACGCATCTTATAAAAAGATAATACACAAAGAAGAACATTACTAGCTCATACACGTTGCTTAAAACAACAATTAGAACACAAAAACACAAAGGTACTTCAATGTCATGAGTTCTAGCTAACTAGCTAGCACTCAAAGAAACCGGACTGGATCGGAGCACGATACTTAGGCGCAAGGTTTGTAACAGAAACAACGGCGGCGGAAACCACGGCAACGGCCGCCGGGGAAACCCTCAGTTTTGCAAACATTAGCACAGTTTCTCCTGCTAACACATAGTCCCTTGAACCTGTAACTTGCTGACTCGCAGTATCTTGCTTCTACCACCTTTGCACCAATATCTGTATTTGATAATTTGCGCATTAAATATCATACGTAAATTGACAAGATAAAAAACATTAATAGGCTAACATTGTTATTGTATTATAAGTACTTATTAGAATTCTTTTTAAAGGTAAGAAAAAGAAAGTAAACACTATTACTAGAACAAAGTTGAGTACATCTAACTCTTTTTGTCCGATCTGTTTTCACAAGTTTATTAGGAGATTTATTTATAGCTTGGAATTGAAATAATATCAAGTTATATAAATTTGAATCCGATCATGTTGTTGAGACTCATTTATTTAGAGTTGTCACCTTAGACCGTAGCTTAATATTAAGATCAAGTTATTATTAATTACGGAGCTAGTATATACTTAGCATTTAAGGCTTTTCAATGGCTACATATATATACTATGGACATGTATTTCATATAGTAAGAATGAAATTTAATTATTACATGCTAAGTATTCAAACTCAAGCAAATAACAAATAAATTGAGTTGGGTTATAAATTAATTGAAATAGAATGAATCAATTGAAAGAGAATTAGAGAATATAAACCTGTGGAAATCACAAGCAGAAGCATGAGAAGAACAACTGAAAACACACGTGAGGACCGCTCCATTTTATTTTCTCTCTCTTTCTTCCTCTCACTACAACTTACTTGTATTAAAATAAAACTAGGGTAGATTTTGTGGCACACTACTATCACTACACTAAGCACCTCTTTATATAGCCAGACTGCCAGAGCTATCCTTTTTTTTTTTTTTTTAATTATTACTATTACTATTATTATTATTATTATTATTATTATTCAACAACAGACAAAATCATACGATCTATAAAAAATTAGTGGTAAGCCGAGATAAATATTATTATTATTATTATTATTATCTTTGTCCTTTATAAAAACTAGACCTCATATGTCCTTATTTAATTAATATGGTTAAGGAATTAGGATGTTCACCTCTTATAACCATTTAAATCAATGTACAAACTATATACTTGTTCGATATAAAATATGAATAATAATATTATAATTTGTTTCATGTATGGTACTTTATAATCGGTGTAATTGAAACTAAATAATAGATTATTAATCCAAGTTTAATATCCTTAACCAATAGACATATTCTTATATATGGTCTAGTGGATCTAGTTACACAATTAGTTCAATGATGGTGCGACCGTTTCATATATAAGACACTTAATTGAGTGATAAGGGTTATAATGACTAATTTTTTTCTTATATATAAATCATTACTTCTTAATTTAATTAACACTAGTTAAAATAGCTTGATTATGCATGTAAATACTGCAAAAGGTCTATTTAATTTGAAACAAAAGAATACTTAAGGATGGAAAAAAATATGATTAAGTATTATACTAATTAACCTACTAGCATGTTCGAGATCTAGAAAAAGCTGCATACTGAAAATTAAGATTTAGAAAAAGCATAGATCAACAAATTGAGTGATTCAAATGAAATAATTATGTATGCGGAGTAGGTCTCTTTTCTCTTTTGCGTTGGCTACCATAACATTGATGATTTCCTTTTGAAATGACATTTCACTTACATTAGACATTACTATATGTATAGTGTTACTATTATTTTCTTGCCTTTTTATCTCCTTACTTGTCATCAACATAATCGGGCATTATCTCGATCTTGTATCTTCTCTTTTTCTGGTCTTCCTTTAATTTTAAGTGGGGTCACCTTTTTCATGCAAAATGATTACTACTATCTTTTATTTTTGTATATCTTAGGTGTAAAATTTTGAAGTTAGGTCTAGTGTTTGGCCATCAATTATCAGTTTGAATTTTTTTTTTGTACAAAATTATCAGTTGGACAATTTTATCTTTAATTTCTTAGCTTTTTGCATGAAATTGATGAAAGTAATAATGTTCACCTAATTTTTGTTTTTTGTTTTTTTTTTTATCTTCTGGTTGTTTTTTTGACGTGCTAAACGTTTTGAGACTCATTTATTATATGGCTAAGAGTCTGTTCTCTTCAGCTTAAATTCAGTTCAATTCATTTTAGTTCAGTTCAGTTTTTAATTTCCTTCTCTTATAAACAGTTCAGTTCAATTTAATTCAGTTCACTTCAGCACAGTTCAGTTAATCAGAACAGACCCTAAGTGTAATAATTACTACGTACATATTCTTCCAAAAAAAAAAAAAAAAAAAAAAAACTTACTACGTATATACGTCTTCAATCATAATTATTCAGAGAAAGAATTAATTGACATGCATGATACAATTGAAGTTGCGGGTAGTATAATACGGTCCATCCGGAGTAATGCATTATCTAGTTTAACTTAGAGCGTTTGTCAATATTCAAATTATTTGATCGTTAATTTGTTTGATAATCTATTAGTAGGAAAATTTATTAGAAAGGAGGGATTTTTTTTTTTTTTTTTTTTTTTTTTTTTTTTTTTTTTGGTGAACACGAGGGTCAAGCCCAAAGAAAGGAAAAGCAAAGAAAACGAAAGCAAAAAACAAGGAAAATAACATAAACAAAGCAAAAAAACCAGAAAACTAAAGCAACTAAACACTACGAAGCAGCTCATTTCAACACCATCGTCAAGCAGTCTCTGATGGTACCATCCGAGGCTTCGTCACACCACCAGCTCCAGCAGGGCCTGGGTTTCCTTTGGAAGCGCCATCGGTATTTAAGCGAACCCAACCTTCACGAGGGAAGGTCCAGCTTATTAATTTCTCAGAGCGCTTTCTCTTTTTTGGGGCTGTGTCAAGTAAATTGCTCTCGTATGCTCTCCGAATATCACCCTCCCTTGCCATGATGAAACTGATTTGGTCAATTGGTATAGGTACTTTCTCTTTCAAATCAAAGGAGGTTCTTTTATAATCACATTTCTGTGCCACTTTATTTTTAGGATAGTGTTAACAAGCATCCCGGGGCGTTAGATAAAGTATAATATATTACTTAAAATAATATTAAGTTTCAAATGTATGACAAAATTATGCGTCGATCGGTGTAATTAATGTTAATTTTACTATAATATTTCCACATTTAACTCTCTTATCTAACGCCCGAGGGCGATTGTTAGCTTTTGCCTTATTTTTATAAGGTACTTTTGTGCCTACCCTATTAGTAAATACTAAATACTCTGTATGAAAATATATATATGATATATTGAAAAAAAAAACTTTAATTATTTAACATTAATCCAACAATATTATGATACAGAGTAACATATTACTAAGGCAATTAATACCGTGATTGTGTGATAATATATGGACATCGGTTTTTTGTAATAATATTAAGAGTAATCACCAGTAATAACATATCAAACTCTGTCATCTTGACATGTTCCTTCACTTATACAGTTATATTACGTATTATACATACATATTTTTTTTAACTATGCAATTTTGAAGTGGACTTGCGCAAGTCACAGCTAAGTAAAACACTAATTTGTACGTGTTTTCCTTCTGATAAATAATAGATTCACTCCAGCCATCTTAATCATATTAATTTTATGAATTAGGTCAAGTTCGTGGGCTTCGTGCTTGTATTTGTTAGATCAAATCGATTATGAAATTTCGATTTTCAATTTGGAATTTTACATAGGTGATTTTGAGTTACTTTTGCTAGATCAATAGCTGTAACATAAGAATATAATAAATCAGATTTTTGGCTATTAATAATAAATTAAATAAATTATTGTTTGAATGAGTCATCGCGGTTAAGTACTCTCGTTCTTTTATGTTTTTTTTTACGCTTTGATTACTTTTTTCTCACAAAATAATAATGTGTAGAACAAAAAGGAATGGAAGGAGTAGTATATATTAAACAATTTATTAGTCTGAATAATAAATATGTAATTTTCCACCCCTTGGCCCATGTCATCATCAATGGATGGTAAAAATAGATCAGAGTTGAGAAGAGGTACCTTTCACAGTAGTTTCACCAGATCAAATTCTATGAAATTTGTCAAAATGAATGGTACTAAGGTAATTTGATGAATGTGTAGATTGAATGACAAATTTTACTCAAACTAAAAAATTTAGTACATAACATAATTGTAAATGATATATAAGTATATAACTCCATTTGATTACATAAGCTTTGACAAATTTAAACCTCCACAACATGAAAAGAAACCACATTATTGATTATTATTCAAAACAACCCCAAATTGAAAGGTAACATTCATTACATAGTACATACTATCAAAATTACATATATGAAGTGTTGATATGTGTGTATGGAGTACTCTGTATGCATGCTAAATAATTAATTAGCAATGTCTAGTGCAGAAGCATCGACGACGGAAGCCTCGGCAGTGGCCTCCCTGGAAGCCTTCACCTTGGCAAATAGCAGCACAGTTAGCCTTCCTCCCACACAGCCCCTTGAACCTGTAGCTTTTAGTCTCGCAAGTTCTAGCCTCCGCGACATTTGGCCCTAGCTCTTTTTATGCACAACCATCAATAAAACACGTATTAATTCATGAATTTAGTCATTTCTCTACACTAACAGATGTATTAGTAATTGAAACTCAGTAGTTATAAACTTATAATTCTTTACACATACTAGATTATTAAGTAACGTGTGTACTTAGTTGATTGTTCTTAGGATTTTGTTATAATCTTTAGAAATTACCCCTTAATAAACATTTTTAGTAATACTGTGAACAAATATGTATAAAGAACGTAAACACCCTAAAAATTTGGTAATAATTTTAATCAGATCAACAAACCTGTGGCTGTAAACATGAGCATCACCAAAAGAATAGCTGAAAGAACACGAATGAGGCGCGCCATTTTGCTTCTTCTTAATTCTTGAAATCAAAATTAGTCCAGTAGTTTAAGAGCAATGAGACCTTAATAACACAGATATATATTACAGTGTAAAATATATGGTACATTTATATAGCAAATGGTAAAGGCAAAACCCAGTATATTTTAATTTTAACAAGAAGTTTAGGAATATTAATTAATACCTGGAAATGTAATGAATCAATATGTACACGTTACAAAAAGCAGGGTGCATGAACCAAAAGAGAAAGTTCAATCTCAAAAGAAAAATCCACGTTAGTTTGCATGATTGTATTCCCACCTATTGTAATGTTTTAGCTAAAAGAAGATTATATTACTACTAAATTGTTTGATTTTAATCGACACTTCACACTACTTTTAAAAAGAGCATAATCATTCATTTCACGATAATAGTCTAAGATTTAGGCCATTCAAATTAGATATTGGCTTGAGCGATATAACGGGTCATTATACCTTATACGTATGCACAATCTATCATATACTTTAATACTTTATATTTGGAGATTTTATATTCTTTCCAACATATGACTATATGAGGTCTTGAATTCAATGAGTCTTTTAAACATCAAACTTTTATAATTTTCGTTTCCTGTTCCATTGAAATTGCTTCAAATGCGGGTTTTTTTTTTTTTTTTATTAAGTTTTCCCGTTAAGTCCATAAATGATTAAGAGGCTACCATTAATGTTTAATCTTATCAACTTTATTCAATCAAAGCTTAAAAAGGTACTTCGTATTATAAATACTGTGTAATACGTAATACGAGTACGAAATTTCTCTATAAAGGCAATCCAATGGCAGGGTGGGATTACATGACGGTACAAGCTTAAATAGCAATGCAAATTGAGTTTTTGTGAACTGGATCTCACAAGATGGACAGCATCTGTTGTGGATGGGCCAACTAATGTATTGCCGGCTATTTGCTGCTGGGCTATTGGATTTCTTATTGAACTTTCTATAATCTTATGGGCTGCTTGACATTTGATATAACCTACAAATTTTTACCTCTCTATTGTAGGTAGAATTCCCTACACCACCCCCCGTCCCCACTGTATCACCCTACACCTTTCCCCACTATATCTCCCCATCCTTCCCCTCTTCCAAATTATAACAATTATCACCGCATCTTACCTTCAAATTATATATCCATCTTTATCAACTCTACCAAAGTCCAGCGATCTAACCGCCATTCTCTTTTTCTCCGGCGACATTCTATAACTCGTCCTGTCCGCGAAACCACTGTTTATATACTCCGGTAAAATCCCGAGATTGATCACTTTAAAACACTCGATTCGATAGATAGAGAATCTCGAATCTTTGAAATTAAATTTAGTGGTAAGTTAGCTGTGCTTCTTGTGAAAACAGTTGTGGTTACAGCGATAGTCGTGGTTATGTTGGCGGTAGGCGTATTGGAAGCAGAGAATTGAAAAAAGGCTTCCATTATATGGAGTAGAAGTAGGTGTGGATGATGATATTCCATCGCATCACCATCACCATAGATTGGAAACACGGCGACTTGAATTGATTTAGGATGGCGGTGGGGCTAGAAATATCGAACAGGGGAATTTCGAAAATTGTTGGCAAGCTTTTATTAATGAACATATAATTTCCAAATGAACATTTGTTTTCATAGTTGTAAATGAACATTAATCATGTTATAATTGAACATTTAATTATGGAGCATTAAAATTAACCTATTGCGATTAACGTATCACTTGCAAATTTATTAATTGCTTAGTGAAAAAAAAAACATCTTAGTTTTCCAATCTAAAAGTTAATTACATAAAAATAATAAGATATGTTAATTGTTAATATTTAGTAATATGCACGTGAACATATAGAATCATGAATATGTATTATTTTAATGTTCATTTTTATATGCATAATTCGTAAATGTTCATTGTTACATAATATAATAAATTTTATAAAAATAACTAATACATGATATAATAAGTGTTTTAGTATCAAAATGAACCTTTAAGTATATGGATATGTTCATTTAAATTAAATGCAAGTAATTGTTCATTCAGTATGAAATGATCATGAATCAAAATAAAAATGAGCATTTATTAATATGAAAATGAACGTTTACATATAATAAAAAAATATAAGTTATTTTTTGAAACATTAATAAGCATATTAGTGTATACTATAGAAGTGGAGGTTCAATATGTTAACGATAATTTTATATATTCAATGGGTAAGATGTGTAATAACTAACAATACGTTTTATATACAGAGTAAATTTTTTAGAAAGGTTGTTTACAGTAGTTCTAAAAACTTTATGAGTGAATTTTTAAATTAGAAATAATCATAATACTAGCTTCCAAAATGTACATATTTTTCTTTTAAATTGAACATCCTAGTATAATTAAAATGTACATTTTTGGAGTTGATAATTATTCAAGAAAATTAAAAAACAATGCTAAATCATTACTTCAATTAAGTTGTTTAGATTTTCGAACAATTTTTTTTTTTTTTTTTGTTTATGAACATGCATGTTACTTTCCTAATATGAACACTTTATAGAGTTTAGGAGATCACCCCATAAAATGTTGGTATGTCATTACTTTACCCATTTTACTCTTAGGATTTAAAATATACAAGTATAATTTATTGTGAACATTGTGAATTTTTTAATGAACATATATATATATATATATATATATATACACACGAATTGGCAAGTTGAGACTTCTTTCCCTAAGATTTGATCTAGCCTTCGTGGGTTTATTATTTAGGATAAATTTTATCAATGAAAAAAATTTAAGAATCATGTTAGTAAAGAGTACCTCTTTTGTTATTGTTTATGAACATTTAATGATATGGTAATGAACATATAGTTAAAGAGATGATATAGCATTGAGATTTTGATGAACTAAAATTGAGATAATAATGAACATGTTCATTCTACTTTCATTTGCCAAAAAAAAAAAAAAAAAAAAAAAAACTTTTTTCCCCTATCGATTATTATATGAATTTTAACATACAAAATATATAACTCGTTTATACATCAGATATGTTAAAAACAATATACTATTTTAACAAGAAATTGCTTATAACTCATTTATCATCAATCTTCTTGTCTCCCTTCGTTTTATCTTCGATATATTTCATTCAAAACATATTAGTTGAGGCGTGTATTTGATAGGCAGTTTCTTAATTTGATATTCCTGTATAATAACAAAACCAATATAAATTATAGTTTATTATTGAAAAAAAATAAGTGTCTAAAATTTAATAATATAAACGTAATAAAATATGGTGTAGAACATACAATAACATATAAATGAACGTATAGAAGTGTGATTATGTATATTTATATTATTTGTCTTCAAGTCACAAATTCGTTTTTGTTTTGGGTATGGGACATAATCCACAAGTCCACACTGAATAACCTTATATAAAGGTTGTCTACACAGTGTTTGTGGACTTGTGGTGTTGTATATATTAGTATATGGTTTCAAAATAAACTTTTTATTAGGAAGAAATGAACGTTATGTTTTTTCAATATGAACAATTTAATGATTATTACGATTGACAATTGATATTATATTTTTAAAATTCATTAGCTCATTTTTGAATTAATGATATGTAAATGAACATTATTCGTTTTATGAATGAGCATTTGTTATTTTTACAAATTAAAATCAAAACAAAAATGAACATTCATCACAAAATCTTACATGATAAACTTAAAATTACATTTCAATAACCCTATGAGTATTGATCAAATTATCCAGAAAAGTAGAACAATTAAAATCTATTTTTAAGTTTTGTGTCCAACACTTTTGTAATATAATAACACACCAAAATTTAATTTAACACAAAATAGAGCATACAAAATTCAACTATAATTATAGAAAACCACAATAATTTAATGGCTTGAATTTTCTAGTGAAATTGTAAAATTAACAATAAAAAAAAAATCAATAAGATACAGAGTGTGTAACTGTGTATACCTAACGATGAAAACCAAATTAAAACGTCGACGATAATCTAAATTGTTATCAAACAATCAAATTGAGGAAAAAAATACGGTAATACAATAGTCAATGAACAATCATATCGTTTTTTTTTTTTCAAACTTAGACTTACATTCAACAACGATTCACAAAATAATATATCAAATTGAAAAAGAAGAGAAAATTGGTGGTTTTTTTAAAAAAAAAGACAAATTGGTACCTTAATAACGATCTTGTGTTGGCAATGAAGATTTGGTGAAAAATAAAATGAATGGAGAAAGTTTCTGGACGGAGTAAACAAGAGAGGGAAAATAGAAAAGTTGTATTTAGTATTATGCGCGTCGTTTTGACAAGGGTGTAGGTAGAGTTCCCTACTCTAGAATGTAGGGATATATAATTAGATATAAACTAGGATGGAGATAGGGATCATTGTCTAGGAAAGTCATTTCGATCCAATCTGGTCCATGTGGTGGACGTAGTCACGTAGCAACCGCTAACGTCAATATTGTCCACATAGCAACTTTACAAAAAAGTTTTTCCTGCCTAAATAAAATCTGATGTCATTATATTTTACTTTGAACACTTATTTAGTATATTAAGTAGTTTTCGAATTTTTTAATTTTTTTGATGCTAAGTCTATAATCACAACTTCTTGATAAGGATTGATTGATTCCTGGTCAATTCTTATTTATAACAATTAATTATTTTGTTAATATTCCAAAGTTAGCTCCTAAACTTTAGATTTGTATATATTCTTTCGCATATGCTGCTCATAATCAATGCAAATTAACAATAAGAACTTCCCTCAATATATTCTATCCATTCTCTATATGTATCAGATTCCTTGATCCTAAAGACCTACTCCTTTTCTGTAGTTCTATTTTCACAAAATCTTCAATGGCAGCACAAGTACTTGTTGCGAATGCTACAATCTATAAATTATATATATAAAAAAATTGATTTAGAATTATTTTAAAATCATTTACAAGTACATTGTAAATAGATGAGTAGAATTTTTGTAAAAATCATGCAATGCACAGGCCTAACCTAGTCTATAACTAATAGTAAAGTAACAACTGCTGATGTCATTTTTTTTCCAAAGATGTAAAACGTACTCTATATATTGCTTTTAGTTCACTTTTTTGATTTTTAATTTTGTTGTTTTAATTTTGT